AATCACAATTTCCATCGCTGATCCTTTGTGCTATCTACCGCCACCAATTGAACAGAAGATACTCCACCTCCTTCTGAATGAAGAGCAAAATATCAGCTGTTTCGAACATTCTAACATTAGAGCGGGATAAGCAAATCCCAAACCAGTTATCTTCTCCTGATCCAGATTAAAACCAGGCAGTTACAAAAAATAATACTTAGATTCGCTTCTAAATGGAGTGGATGTTCCGTTTTCATAAACAGACCTATATTGCTGAGTTGGTTATGCAGGTCATGATGATCTGTATCCGTATTATCCACTGACTTATTATCTCCAAAAGCCAAAATTATTTTATCGAGGCAGTCGTGTCCTATAATCCACATCAAAAATCGTTTAAAATTATGCTACTAAAGCCAAATTCATAGAACTGTCAGGTTGGTTTTTCTTTACCTACTAGGGGAGTTGTTACTTTTTTCGGCATTGGTCGTATACTGATGTTTCAGTCTATGTACGTACGAACGCTATTGTTGTGGGTCAATATTTGAACTCAAGTAAGCTTTTTGGATATAAGGCGGATAAATTTCAACGATTAAAATCAATTTTAATACTGGGATGAAACTGTCAACTGACCAGTTAGCTGTTTCAACCCAGCTAACAGAGCTATCATCCTTCAATGTTAGGGACAAACTTAAGGTTAGTTCGTTTTTACTTAAATAGAAGAGTTTTGGTGTTATTTTCGACTTTGTTTACGAACAGACCTTTTTGTATGTGTTTAAGTGGTCTTCTTTATCTAGCATATAAGCAATATTTTTATACGTGCAATGTACAATAGCTGCAGGAGATTTCCAGGAATCGTATAATTTCTTATATATTACTTTATTTCTAATAAATTTGATTCAACTTTTTGCAGCATTTCAATGTTGGCTGATGTGGTGGTCTGTATAATATAGTTTAAATTGATGTAATTTTGCAGAGATTGTTCTAGTTTCTGTTCTATCAACTTGGGTGAAAGATTTTGTAGTACCAAAGGACTGTACAACATAGTCTAAATTGGATTAATTATGCTATTTAATAGAAAAAGTTCATAATCTAGAATTATAACGTATTGAATTATAGAGCTTTAACAGTGAAGATTGAGTAGATTAAGACTAATTTGCATTTATGAAGTTTCTATAAATATTATTAGACTATTTTTTTATAAAAAAAATGTTTTGATTTTCACCATTATCTGTAAGAAAATTCACAAATCCGATTAAAATTCTAATTTACGAAATACTTCCATTAAGAATGAGTTACTTATAACAGCATTTTTAATTTAAATAATTAATTTATTAGGATTATTAATTCACGATTAATTATTATTTCAATGACACTATGAGATTTTTCTAACACACATTTATTTAATTTTCAAATGAATTTCAAGTTTCTTAGATACTTCTATTGCTTGACCTATGACCTCTTATTTGATTATACATTTTATTTGTCTCATTGGATCAAGATATGTTATTGAAAACTTTATTCTTTTATTTTCCAATTTTATTCAAAGTATTTAATAAATTTTAAAAATTTTCCACTATTTAACATCGATTTTTTGACTTCGCTATAGAATTCTCTAGAAAAAATATCTCGAATGCTTCTGAAGCTTTAAATTAACTAAATTGAATTGAATGAAATTAAACCAATTCAATTTTGTATTTATTTTCATGATTTCATGGATTTGATTTGTATCTATAAAACGTAAAAATTACAAAAATATAAAAAGTGTTCTCTGTCGAGCAGGAAGAAAATTGGTAGCAATAAATTGTCAATAAGACCAATTCGAGGTTTATACCGGCCACGTGTTTTTGTTTTTATTATGCTTAATGTTGTCTAAAATAGGTGAATTACTCTTGACTTTTGAGTTTTCAAGCATAAACTAACAAAATAAATTTAATAGAAATTTAAATCCATTTACCCTTAATATCCTGAACGGACTGTCACGCAAAAGACAAACTTGTTCTACGGCAGGGTCTGCTTGCAATATTGACTCAAGTGGTGTATCTGCATCTTCGCTATCAGCACGTCTGGGACTTGACACACGCTCAATTATCATTGAAAATATCCAGAACTGTAAATATATATAAACCAAACAAAATACATATATATATATATATATATATCTATGTGATAAGAGAGTACTACATTCATTTGTAGATAACATTTTATAATTAGTAAAATTTTTTTTATTCACACTTATATATTAGATATTCACTTACCTTCCCTTTTGATTTTATCGAACCAGATCCCAGTGCCGGCTGCGACTCCATGAGTTCTGGTGAAATGGCACGATTGCCACTGTATAAACCGTTTAATAGTTTTGGCATATCGAAATTGGATATGGTGAATGGTGTGATGTCGAGGCGTCTAGAGACGAAAAAAAAACGACTGTTAGTCAAGTACGAAAAGATAATTTTTTTACAAACAAATGATAATTCAATGCCTGATAAAAGGTATACGTATCATTTAATTTAATGCAATTATAATAAACCATTGATAATAATACTGCTTATCAATTTATTTATTTATTTTTTGACAAAACGATTTTCATCATTAGGAAGAAATGATGAATTTATTTTAATATCTACATATGCAGAAGATAAATACTACTTGCATATTATTCAGGTAATAGTTTTCTAATTGTTATAATTTCACAATAAATTGTAATTATAATTCAAAAATTCTTTTTAAATAAGTCTGTACTATAGAATGATTCTCTCTTTAATTTATCAACGATTTTAGATTAATTTAAAATTTTTAAGCTCAAATCTGTAAATCTAAATTAAAGTTTCAAATGGTGATTATTAAAAAAATTATTGTTATTTATTTTTAATTAAATTATTAATCAAAAAATTATTATTTTAAGAGATATGAATTGCGTGCTTTTACCAAACTTGTTATGTACAAATAGATAAACCTTTATGTATTGGGATACTTTTCCTAAAAAATTTTTCTAAAAAAAAATCATTCTATAGAAAAAAGGTTTTAAGAAATATTTGAAAATCTCCCTTATTAACATAAAAAAAGTGGAATATAGAAAAGGATATCTGAAGTAAACGCAAAAGCATGGACGCACAAAGATGAAGCAGCACTGGGAGTGTTTGTGTGAAAAGTTCTTCGTAAGATCTTTGGTCCTTTACTAGTTGCCGACAATTACCTTGGATGCGGTAATTGAATCATGAAGATTTTCCATAAAAAAAATGCCAATAAATCGTGTCTCCGGTGGAGTCATCAAATTTTGGGGACACTAACTGGAATTGATATATGAAACTGGAGAAGGGCGTTCACGCAGCAGAGACGCCTGGACAGACATGTTGCGTCAGACTGAAACTTTAACGGATTGTGATGACCGAATAAATAAGTAGGTGAGTATATCGAGGGTAAAAATGTTAATCTGTATATTTTGAGTAAAATAAATTTTTTTATGTTAAACCTTTGAAATTTCAATTGTTGAACCTTAATCCATCATTGCTAGAGACCCAGATATATAATCTAAAATGGTTTATATAATGTTCAACAACACTAAACTCTTTAAAAAAAAATTTATAATGCCTTACAGTAAAATTATTTATAGCTAATAAAACGATTTTCTATTCAGAAAGTATTTAAATACTTCCAATATGTAGTCAAAAAACTGCGAATCACTAGAACTAATTCTAATATTCTTATACTGTATATAGTCGGTATCATTATTTTTTTTAATATCACAGTTGCACCAGAAAATATGTTGAACTCACACAGCCCAATGGCATATTGTGATACAATTCCGCATTTTCTCACCTTCTTAGCACTCCTTAGTGGAACCATTTTGTTTCCAATATAAACCATTCTGTAGTTTAGAATCGATGGTGTTCTAATTCTTCAAAGTATCAATCTCCAAACAAGTGAAAGGGTCTGAAGAGGGCCAGATAGTTATATATAAGTTATATATAACTTTATATATAACTTATAAAGTTTTATATAACTTTTTCGTTTATATAACTTTTCTCATGTCACGTCTATACTAATCAAATAATGATCTGTAAAAACAGACTTTATAAGAATAAAAGCTGTTTTTAAGTCAACTGTAGGTCTATCAGTTCCCACAGAGTTAACCATTTCAATAATGAAAGCAGAACAGAGGCAAGTGCTCGTCATAAGAGTTTTTATAGAAGCGACTATTTTAGGCACCTAATCTGGTAGCGGTTAAGATTAGATGTGATTAAGATTAGATGCGGCGAGATTAAAACTGATGTCATAAGATTTACGCTTTTGCCTACTATTCATTTTCTGTTGTACAGTTGCTACAGCTACCTAACAGAACTTTTCAAGAAGGGAACCCGGAAGGCTTAACAATATTCCGCAATTTCAGTGTAGTCTGGAACCCAAAATAAAAGGATGTTGTCTGCAATTGTCAGTGATTTGATGAGACTTATCTGTGAAAATATACATATATAATATACATATATATTATATAGTGTCTTTTTAAGCTTTACTAATGTCATAGATAACTTTAGCTTTAATTTCAATAATAAACTTCAGAACTACAATAATAAGGTAAGTTGAAAGCTTAAAAAATATATTTTAACTATCCGAAAATGCGTTACCAGGTAATCCGAATAAATATTTTTATCTCAGCAAATAAAAACAATAATATTTATTTATTTTATTTGTTTCATTTAGACAAGTCATTTAAAAAACATAACAAAAAAAAAAACAAAAATTAGTGGACTGAATTTATTGTTTTTGCAGTTATTGCACCCTTTAGATACATTTTGATGTGTTTAGGTAAACGTGGAATTTCACAATATATTTAATGGAGTTGCGTGTGGTCTGAGTTATGTATTTCTCTTTATATAAATAAAAAATAAAAGGATAATGACTTTTCATAATTAATAAATGTAGGCATGATGGTTACAAAGTCCCAAAAGGAACCGAAATTTGCATTCATTTAATGTAATGCGTACATATATATATATATATATATATATATATTTAAGTTCAGATTTTATAATTAATAATAATGAACACAAAATTTTATCTGCTCTGAATTGAGTGATGTAAAAGTGATATCATTTAATTAAATTAAGTTTTTCTTTTTTCAAATGTATTCAGACAAATTAAGTACTGATTATTCGAATCGCAATGTAGCTTCTTTCAAATGTTCTAACATCGCATATGAGCAATTTCCGGAATGGTTAAAAATTTTTTCATTTTAAATAAATACTTGAGATATCATATTACAAAATTCTTTAAGAATAAACTAATAAATATAGACTCATTAACAGAGAAGGGAAGTTTTTAGCAAGATTTTAAAAAGGGGATCCTAATAATCTAATACCTGGTAAAGTATAAGTTTTTTTTTGGTTTGTTTCCTTTTTCCCTGATTTTTGTCTAATACTGTGAGAAATTATTCTAAATCCTGGTAGAATTTAAATATAAACATCTGGGTGTCCAAAAAATCAAAATAAGCGTGAATATAAAATAAGGTCCGCCTGCAGGGTCAAAAAAATGGTGTATATATTTCGATCAATTAATGAAGTAATAGCTCCTCCTAAAACAGGTTATGATAATAATAAAAATAATGTTTCAATTACTTATTTTTATGGATTGCCATAAAAATTATTCGACAACGTATTGTTAAAATAAAATATGGTAAATCATATTAGTCTTACGCAGGCAAGTATACAAGAAAGGGATTTGATGCGGCTGAAGCTCCAAGTCCCCACCAAATTAATCTATAAGCAATAGGCACATAAATACAATATAGATTGAACATCGTTATCGGCAGTGATATATGAATATGTAGCGGGTTGTGGAAAAAGCGAAAGATTCTGAAATTGATGGCACTTAATTTCTAGTAATGAAGTACTTTTTTAACATTTTAGCTATTCTATCATTCACAACAAATCATATTGTTATGAAAAATAATAAAAATCCTAGCAGTAAATACCATTGATTGCAATAGACTGAGTAAACTCGCTATAATTTTTATACATTGGGATAATGCAAGTAATCCTGATAAAGTGATCCACCTTTTATCAAAAAATAATCTAGGAAATTATACTTATATATATTATATAAGTTTCTAATTTTACTTTTATACTAAAATAGCACGCATTAAATCTATAAATTTATTGAAACCGGAATAATTACAAGTACCTTATTATTATAAGATTCTTTCCGTTTATTAAAAATAAAATTTATATAACTTTTAACACATATATGTAATTTGGAATAAAGTGCAGTCTTAAGCACCACTTAATATTCTGTGGCAGAATATAAAAACGTTTCAATGAGTGATCTCAAGCATATACAAGTCAAAAAAAGTAGTTGCGCAAAAACACTGCACTGCTTACATCCACTTTTCAAACACAACAACCTTTGCGCGAAGGACAGAAGGCTGATTTATAGCCAGATAATTAGACCAGCACTACTTTATGGGAGTGTCGCGTATAGCTAAGCTGCCTACTCTACTTTCCAAAAGCTACAAGTTCCTCAAAGTCAGGCTCTTCAAAGTACCATGGTACATCTGCACGAATGACATGCCATGTCATAGAGACTTTAGAATAGATCCGGTCAAAAAATACATAAGGGACAGAGCTCTGAAGCTATATGTGAAAACCAACAGATTGCCCTACCTAGCACTATCTTATCTCAGAGTAATCACTAACCGCACGGGGCCATATGCAGATCTTAGATCAATCATTGAATAATCACGAAGATTATGAGGAATACTCAAATTAGTCAGTGAGATGGGTGGGACTCTGCAGAATCTTCCCAGCCATCATAGAGTAAATGTGTCCAGATGCACTAACTCGGAAAGGGCTCAACATAATATAACATGAGTGACCTAGTACATCAAACGCCTAAATCTTTAGCCCTCTTTTTTGATAATACTGTATTAATCCTCCTGCTTCATTCCGATATTTAATATCGAATATAATAACTTATAAGTATACCCTCAAAGAAATATTTATCTAAATAACGGACACTGCTTGTAATTAACATAAGGTACATTCTCATATCTGCGTTAGATAAATTTGGAAATACAAATACAGCTGGTAGTTTCTTATGCAGCAATGAAATCATTGATAATTTAATCTTAAATAGTGGTTTTAGTGGGTGCAAGTCTCATACTGCGGAAATCGGACTCTAAGACAGGGTCTTCAGTAAACTAAAACTGCGATATATAGGTATATATTGTACATTATAAGTTTCTGGCATAGATTAACTTACTAAATAAAATTTTGAATTTTTATTTATTTATAT